TTCTCTGGCTGAGCTGGTAAACATGTACTGAAATAGTCAAACAACATCATCCATCAGAGGGTGTTAAGACAAGTAACAGAGAAGGGAAATCTATACCTGGGAAGTCAAACAGGAGCAGCGGTAGAGCTACCACATTCCAGCCTGTGATCTGGGTGCCTGGGGCCCAGCGGCAGTTGGTAATCGGCAGTTAGAGGTGGGGAGAAGGCCCAAACCAACAGAAGAAAGGTAAAGATAACAAGCAAGATGAAGAAAGATGAACTTAAAAAAAAAAATTATTTATTTATTTATTTATTTATTTTTTAGCATATTTGGTATTTAAATGAAAAACAGATTTGACCAACATGACTTTTTTTTTTTTAAAGGTTACCTGTGATAATCTCTCTTTAAAAAATATGTATTTTCAAAGTATTTTTTACAGAAAGGAAGGAAAGGGTTAGAGTTAGAAACATCGAGAGGGAAACATTGATCAGCTGCCTCCTGTGTGCCTCCCACTGAAGTCTGAGCCTGCAACCAAGGTATATGCCTTCCACAATCTAACTCGGGACCTTTCAGTCAGCAGCAGCCTGACGCTCTATCCACTGAGTCAAACTGGTTGGGGCCCAACATGTCTTAAAAAAAAAAAAAAAAATTAGAGATCTATTAGAGTAGGTTCTTGTTTAGAGACAATTATTTTTTCTCCAGAATCAAAAGCGTAAACTAGAAAAAAAAAAAAATTCAGCTTTGGGTAAAGCCTGGCTAGTTTTATGAAACATTCCTATAGACTGAAAAATTAGTTTATAGTTATGAAGGACCTTTCATTCAAAAGTGCATTATTATGTTAATAATATGCACATATATTCATGTGCTTGTATAAAAAGTATTTGAGAGGGTGGTTTAGGAATCTCAATCACAAATCTTTAGGGCAGCCGAAACCGGTTTGGCTCAGTGGATAGAGCCTCAGTCTGAGGACTGAAGGGTCCCGGGTTTGATTCCGGTCAAGGGCATATGCATTGGTTGCAGGAACATCCCTAGTGGGGCGTGTGCAAGAGGCAGCTGGTCGATGTTTCTCTCTCATCGATGTTTCTAGCTCTCTATCCCTCTCCCTTCCTCTCTGTAAAAAATCAATAAAATATATTTAAAAAAAAAACAAACCCAACAACAACACATCTTTAGGGCAGAAATCTTGCTGTTTTTGCTAAGTAAGGTGAATGGGCTGACAATGGTGGTATTACAGTGCTAAGTCATCTGTCCTTCAAAGGGAACAAACAGGTTTAGTTTGTTCTGCCAACACCGAGAGGCAAATTTTTAATTCAGTTATCACAACATTACCACAAGCTGGTGGATTCTGCAAAACTTGCCTAGCAACATTACAGTTAGAAATAACTCCGAGTAGAGAAAAAACAGGAAATTTGAATTAGATATGCCCTAGGGTGTATTACAGTACAGTGAGTGCTTACTCAGAATCAAGACATTTAAAAAAAATCAGAGCAATCGATTTTCAGTTAGGACGCTGCTGCAATCAAGCCATACATTGTGCCATGTTCTCAGCTGGAGGAGGCAGGGCCTAGGTTTCTTACTCATTTGGGCACTTTTGTCTTAAGGAACACAAGATTTTTATTCAATTATTCCAGAAACATTAAGTACCTTCTCAGGGGCCAAGGGACACTGCTAGTTGCTGAATCTCTAACAACAAAATGCGATCTCAGCCCAGGGTGGGAGGGAAGGCAGTGATCAAAGTGTGTATAGTCCATGCCAGGTGTGGTGGAAAGTCTGGTGCATGGAATACACACACACACACACACACACACACACACACACACACACACACACATTATATATATAAGGGAGAGTGAGAGATAGAAACATCAATGATGAGAGATTCATTGATTGGCTGCCTCCTGCACGCCCCCAACTGGGGATCGAGGCAGAAACCCTGGCATATACCCTGACCAGGAGTCGAACAGTTACCTCCTGGCTCATAGGTGACATTCTACCACTGAGCCACCCCAGCCAGGCTGGGATATTATTTTTACCTTGAAGTGAATAAAGTCAAGGAAAGGTTTTAGAGAGGAAATGGTTCCTCTGAGTCTAGTTTTCAACTTTTAAAGAAATTCCTCTTTCCCCCATTCTATACATTTGTTGGGAATTTACCTCTCCTCTTCTTTGCGAGGTCCTAGGTGCCAAGAATTCAAAGGACTAGGACTGTGGACCAGGAATTCTTCCCTTCCCATCCAGAACCCTGGCCCTTTTGCCCTAGCTTACTTCAAGGACCTCCCAGTTTAGGAAGCAGATAGGTGGCCAAATTAAGAGTAAAAAAAAACCCCACAAAAACACAAAAAACAATAAATGTTAAAAGAGTGTTTACCTCCAGAAAGGAGACTTGGGCTGGGGGCTGAAGGGGTAAGTGGGAGACTTCTGTACCATTTGAATTTATATTGAGATAAACCAATAAATATGTAAGGACTCTAGTATCACTAAGGAGATTTTGAGTACCTAAGCCACATCGGTAGACTGCAACAAGTAGAAAAAGTCCCTACATTCAAGGGATTTCATCTTCTAGAAGGGGATAGTAATAACACCTGTTATGACAGGTATAAGCCTGTTAAGGAAATAGCAATAGGGGATAAAGGATTCCTATGTGGGAGGGGCTTAGGAGCAACGATCTAGTGGGGAAGAGGTGTCTAAGAGGCTTAACATTTCCATTAACTTAGGAAGCAAGCATAGTATTTTTACACACAACTCATATTACAGATTAATAAAGAGTAGAAGTTTTCTAAATGGTTTTTATTTAACTCCCATAAAATGGGGAAAATGTCAACTATCCACATAAAAAAAAAAATAGGTGTAGGAATTAGCTAAAGAACATGTAGTTATAACCCATATATGCAGACAACAGTGTGGTGAAAGGAAGGGGAACAGGTGGAATTGGACAAAGGGAGAGTTATGGGGACATCTGTAATAATGTCAACAATACAATAAAGTTAAAACAATTTGTGATCAGGGATTGAAGAAGAGTAGGCACTGAAGGGAGGGTGCCAATGCACCTTCTTGAAACACACAAAAGGATAGACTTCCTGTTTCCCAAGAGTTTAAAATTGAATTTGGATTAACATGCAAAAAAGATGTTTACTCATCAGTTAGCAAATGCTTGTAGAAAACATTGGTTCACCCTTCACTGTGTCTTCAGGGAATTCCCCACATGCTAAGTGTTTCATTATTAAAAATCCAGCTTGAGCCCAGCTGTTGTGACTCAATGGTTGAGGGTGGACCTGTGAACCAGGAGGTCACCATCCTATTCCCAGTCAGGGCAGTGCCTGGGTTATCGGCTCCATCCCTGGTAGGGAGTGTGTAGAGTCTGCCAATCAATGATTCTCATCATTGATGTTTCTATATTTCTCCCCTTCACCTTTCCTAATATCAATAATATATATATATATATATATATCTATATTAAAAATCTAACTTGAGTTTAGCCTTTGAAAAGTGTTCAAATTACATATATAGCAAAGTGTTAATATTCATAAAGTGCTACAATAAGAAAACCAAAACAACAAAACTACATAACATACTTTTTAAAAATATATACATTTTATTGATTTTTTAGAGAGGGATAGAATTAGAAACATCGATCAGCTGCCTACTGGGGATGTGCCAGCAATCAAGGCACATGCCCTTGATTGGAACTGAACCTGGGACCCTTGAGTCCGCAGGCTGACTTTCTATCCACTGAGCCAAACCAATTAGGGCTACATAACAAACTTTAAATACCCACTGATGTCCAAAATTCATGAAGAATGTATGCTTTTATTTTTTTGAAATGTTTTTATTGATTTTAGAGAGGAAGGAAAAGAAATATCCATGTGAGAGTTGAATTCCCAATCTCTCTGTGCACTGGATGATGCTCAACCAACTGACCCGCAGTAGCCAGAGCACGAAAAATGTACTCTAATCAACTGCTATTTAGAATGTAAATTTTGTATGTTTTTTTTCCTGGAAGGCAATTTGGCAGTTTATACCATTTGTTCCAGTAATTCTGTTCTAATTATATCCTAAAGAACACACACACACACACACACACACACACACGCACACACACACACACGCACGCACAGAGAAAACGTGAGAAGGAACAATATTCACCATGGAGTTATTTTACAATTGAAAAATCAAAAAATGTGTACATGCGACAATAATGTACGCACTGAGTGACATTTTGATGGGAGTACTGGTGGAATTTCCCCCCTTCAAGCGGCATTTAGGTCTGCAGCGGAGCAGGGCCAATGCGTTTTGCCAAAACTTGTCCACGTGTTGGCAAAGCCCATGGCCGCGGGGTGGGCGCCGCATTTCGTGCAGGGACCAACGCTGGTGTTTATGTTTACTCTGGACAAGTCTGGGGGGGAGGGGGCTGCCTGCGGGGTGCTCTCCAATAGCCACCCTGGGGCCACACTGAGGCCCGGAGGCCGCCCCCAACCTGGGGACCTCGCCTCCGAAACTAGCGCTTCCGTCTCCTTGCAGGTTTGGGGGGAGGGGGGGGTCGGGCCTAAGGAAATCAGCGCCAACATTTAGGAAAAGCCCTGAGGCTGCAGTCATTTCCGGCTCTGATCTCATCGGTGGACGTGACTGCCCCCAGCCGCGCCCTCCCCGGCGGTGCCCCAGCGCCACGCCGGCTCCGCGTGCGCTCTGACCCGCAGGGCCCCGCGGCGTGCCCAGGCTCCCGGCCCCTCGTCAGCCCCCGGAGGGAGCGCCGAGGGGCCGCGAGGAGGCCGAGTTCAGGCCCAGGCGAGCCCCGCTCCACCCGCCCCTCTCGGAGGTGCCGCCTCGTCCACCCCCCCCCGCCCCCCGCCTAGCGCGCCCCGTCCGGGCGTGGCCGTGCCAGCTCCCGGCCGCTCGGCGCGCTCATAGGCTCGCGGGCAGCACCGCCCAGGACGCGCCCTGCGCCGAGCCGGGGCGGAGCCAGCGGGTTGGCGCCAAAATCACGTAACTAGCCCCGCCCCCGAGGGCCACGTCGCGCCCTTCTTTTTTTTAAACCCGGGGCTGGGCGGGGATTGGTGGGCTGGGCGGTCACGTGGCTAACGGTCGCGGGAAGCCGCGGAGTCCGAACCCGCGGCTGGACTTGCGGAGACCTGAGCCTGGGCGCTCGGGCCGCCCCGCCGCCGCCGCCGGACAGTCCACGCTGCCGCCGCCGCTGCCCCCACAGCCGCCCGCAGCTCCGAGCGCCCGGGAGCCGCCGCCCGCCGCCACGCAGCCCCGCCGCCGCGGCCTCCGGACGCGCCCCGCCGCACGTGGCAGACCCGCCCCCTGGGCAGGCTGCGCCCTGGACTCCGCGAGTCCGGGTCCTCGGGTCCTCCGTGCCGGCCCCCGGGGCGCGATGAGCTTCCTGAGCGGGCAGCGGCCGCCGCCGCCCCGCCGCGCCGGCGCCTCCTGCACCTTGCGGCAGAAGCTCATCTTCTCGCCCTGCAGCGACTGCGAGGAGGAGGAGGAGGAAGAGGAGGAGGAGGAGGGCAGCGGCCATAGCACCGGGGAGGACTCGGCCTTCCAGGAGCCTGACTCGCCGCTGCCGCCCGCGCGGAGCCCCCCAGAGCCCGGGCCGGAGGGCCGCCGCCGCTCGCCCGGCCCGGCGCCCCGCAGCCCCGGGGAGCTGGAGGAGGAGGAGGACGTGGGGATGCGCAGCGCCTCCCCGGGCGCCGACGCGTCCGGCAGCGGCGGCGGCGGGGCCGAGGGCGACTCGTGGGAGGAGGAGGGCTTCGGCTCGTCGTCGCCGGTCAAGTCGCCAGCGGCCGCCTACTTCCTGGGCAGCTCCTTGTCGCCGGTGCGCTTCGGCGGCCCGGAGGACGCGTCCCCGCGCGGCTACGGGGAGCGCGGCGGGGCCGGCGAGGCGTCCTGCTCGCCGCTGCGGGAGCACCCGGGCACCCCGCCGCACAAGACCTTCCGCAAGCTGCGGCTCTTTGACACGCCGCACACCCCCAAGGTGAGGAGGACGCGGCGGCCCGAGCCCCCCGCGCCCCCCGAGCCCGCGCCGCGCCGGCCTTTTAAAAAGGCGGAGGCGCCGCCGGGAGTGGAGCGCGGCGCTGCCCGGCCGGGTTCGGTTACATAACCGCCCGGCCGCACCCCGGCCCCCCCCCATCCCCGGCTCGCTCTCCTGCGCCACAACAACAAAAAAAAGTTGGCAGCCTTTCTTTTTTTTTTTGGCCCTGCCCAAAAAAAGTCCGTTAAGATTATATAACTGAACTACGGGCCTCGTCTGGAACGTCTTCATCTTTCCAAAGGGGCTGGCCCGGTCGGTGCCGTCCAGGTGGCTCCCGATTAAAACGCCCGCCGAATGGGGGGAGTGTGGCGCCCCACGCAGTGGTTTGGAAGGATGCTGGAGGGGCGCTGGCCCGGCCACCTGACACCCCGCCCGCCGCTGCCATATGGTGCCTTTTAAACGCTGCGATGATGGGTCCTGTAATTTGGGCGGGCGCCCCGCCAGAGTTGGGTTCAAATAATTGTCATTCGCTTATCGTTTCGTGTCAGGTCACCTTCATGGGGGAAGTTTGAGGTGGAGAGAGACTGCGCTTAGAGTGTGATGATGAAAAGGCTGGCCTTCCAGGCGTTCCCAATCCTAAAGACTTGTACCTGAGACAGGGTAGCGTGTGTGAGCTCCTTTCTGGACATTGATGGAGGAAGCGTTTGTTTACACCGTTGGAGGTGTGCAGGGACCACATTTGGTCCTCCTAAATGTGATGAGTTAGGCACATCCAACTGTTAAAACACACCAGCATGGGGATGATTGCTTGGACCCTGATGCACTCCTGTTGTTGATAATGAAGGTGAAGTAGGCGTTCCATACTTGGTTTAAGGGATAAGGAAATGTGCCGATTGCCACTTCTAGAACTGTAGGAGTAACAGCAGATTTTAAAAGGGACACTTCCCGAAATGAAGGCAAGTATCGCATTTGTAAGGATAACGTGGGAAATGGAGCTTTTTAAAGTTAAATTTCAGTCCCTCCGGAAGAAGAGGTGTGCGTTTGAGCTTGCCTAGGCAAGATGCCTCTGGACGTGAGAGGAGGAGCCCGGAGGAGGTGCTTTCAGAGCCGTATTTAGAGGGAGGGTGGGAGAGGCGAGCGGAGCTTTCTATTTTTAGGTTTCTGTTCTTAGAAAGGGCTTGTTAACTGTTGGCCTCTATAGTGAACTTAATTTTAATAATGCATTCGTACGCATTAGGGCTCTAGACCTGTTTTCTTGGCTATCTTTTAGAAAAGGTGGTTAGTATCCTTCTAAGGACTCAACAGTTAACCAGTTTATTTTGTCTGAAATAAAGGCTTGTGTGTTACTTTGACCCTATAGGACTTGGGTCCTAAAAACTTTATTTTTCTTCTCTTAGAGTTTGCTCTCCAAAGCTCGAGGAATTGATTCCGGCTCTGTTAAAATCAGAAGTGGTTCTCTATTCATGGATACAGAAAAATCAGGAAAAAGAGAATTTGACATTCGACAGACTCCACAAGTGAATATTAATCCTTTTACTCCAGATTCTTTGTTACTTCATTCCTCAGGACAGTGTCGTAGAAGAAAGAGAACATACTGGAATGAGTAAGTTATTATTCAATAGTTCGGTTCCCCAATCACCCAAGGTTGGTTTGGTATACTTATTAAATTTGATTTTTAACTAAATGACATGGAAGTTTATGCTCTAAAATTTTTCTCTATTCCTATCACCTAATTCTCAGCAGAGATAGGTGGGAAGTAATCAGCTGTGGAAAAGGAATGCCATGGGAAATGAAGGAATAAAAAGTCTTGGTAACTTGTAGGAAATCCACTGGTGTCAAAATGAGGCGAGCAGAGAGAGTTGATTTAGAAAGGCTTTAATTTTTAAGTTCTGGTTAATGAACATATCTCAACAGTGATCACATTTTCATCAGCTGACTTGTATCTTGTGATTACAAAATTAAATGCTTTTGTTTTGTTTTGTTTTTAAATATATTTTATTGATTTTTTTACAGAGAGGAAGGGAGAAGGACAGAGAGCTAGAAACATCGATGAGAGAGAAACATCGCTCAGCTGCCTCCTGCACGCCTCCCATCGGGAATGTGCCTGCTACCAATGTGCATGCCCTTGACCATAATTGATCGTGGGACCTTCCAGTCCGCTCTATCCACTGAGCCAAATTGGTTTCGGCTGCTTTTCTGTTTTTACTCATTAAAATTTACCATGCACCTACCTATCAGATAAAGTTTTGGATCTCTAGTTGATGTGTCTTTCAGATATGTTCATGAAAAATACATATTTTTCAGTTCCTGTGGTGAAGACATGGAAGCCAGTGATTATGAATATGAAGATGAAACAAGACCTGCTAAAGTAAATAGCTTCTAATTTTCTTTTTGTTTCTGAAATGTGATTTTCTGTTTCTTAACAAATTATGATATAGTTTTAAAATTCCACACATTGTACTATCTCTACAGCAAAAAAAAATCATTTTTATATCATTTTTTTTATTACAGAGAATTACAATTACTGAAAGCAATATGAAGTCACGGTATACAACAGAATTTCATGAGCTAGAGAAAATTGGCTCTGGAGAATTTGGTTCTGTGTTTAAATGTGTGAAAAGGCTGGATGGGTGCATTTATGCCATTAAGCGATCAAAAAAGCCATTGGCCGGCTCTGTTGATGAGTATGTATTAAAAATTTTGTTTTTTGATCTTTTGTTTCCTGTGGTGTTAGAAACATTAAGGTTTTGTGTGATAAAGCATTGAATTAATTCTCTAACTTTTGAGAAGTTATTATGATATAATCGGATCCTTTTCATTTTGTACCATTAGTTCTTGTTGGATTTGGTAAAATAATAAGAGTAGTTGAACCTAACTTAAATTTCTTATTTCTAGTAACATCCATTAAATCACATGGGAGTTTCATCTTTTCTGATTTCTAGGTTCAGTAAGGTTCTTTCTAACTGCCATTCTTTAATGGGCGCCTTTGGAAAAATCTGCAGAGTCTTAACTCTTAAGCAAGTTTTTTAGCATAATGATAGATAATAGAAGTCAAATTTGTTTTATAAAGTTTCAGATAAATTCAGTTTAGACTTGAATGAAAATGGTTTATCATTCTCTTAATCTCTGATTTCTTCTAGGCAGAACGCTTTGAGAGAAGTATATGCTCATGCAGTACTTGGTCAACATTCTCATGTAGTTCGATATTTCTCTGCATGGGCAGAAGATGACCATATGCTCATACAGAATGAGTATTGTAATGGTGAGTAACATAATGGTTCCCTTGCAAATTTGTGAGCTCAAATGAATGAATATTGAGGGAATACTTATTTTTATCTAATGTATATATCTCTTATCTCTTAAAAAATCAAAGATCGGAAGCCTAATGTGCATTTCAAAGGCAAGTAATACCAACCTGATGTTAAATAAATATCTGAAATCCTTCTACCTCAGTATTCTCAGTATTGAACAGTGCAAATTATTTATATGCCACTTACTCAAATTAAACTGATCTTGAGAGGACACTGGTATTGCCATATAACTTGGTATTCCATGTACCTAACAGAGTTTGTGTGGGATATAAATAGAACAGGTTCCTTGCATATAGCCCTCCTTTTCCATTTCATTATATGAACTTCTAAAACTGATGTTGGCTACTTATGACTGATTCTTCATTGGTCTAAACTCAGCCATTTGTTCAAGTCATTCTGTAATCTTGCCTCCAATCCCATCTATCAAACCTAGTTTACCATTAGAATCAAGATTTTTTTTTTCTATTTACCAAGATTTTTTTTTCTATTAAGTTGTTCTCTCTCTTATCTCCAAAGACAAACAAAATAAGCACGTATGGAGGTTCAACTTAGGAACTGTGTATAGCTTTCCGTTTTAGCAAGTCCTTCAAGGACCACTTTGGGTCTCTCTCTATCTCTCTCTCTCTCTCTTTTTTTTTTTTTTTTTACAGAGAGGAAAGGAGAGAGACAGAGAGCTAGAAACATCGATGAGAGAAAAATATCGACCAGCTGCCTCCTGCACACCCCCTAATGGGGATGTGCCCGCAACCCAGGTACATGCCCTTGACGGGAATTGAACCTGGACCTTTCAGTCCGCAGACCGACACTCTATCCACTGAGCCAAACTGGTTTCGGCTGGGTCTCTTTTTTGTTAAACCTTTACCACAATCTCAGTTCTCATTGTTATGGCACTTGTTACTAAATATCTGAATCTTTACATACATATAATGGACTTTTATTTCTGTATATATTCTGTGAATATTAGAATCTAGTGAATACTTGAGGTGATAGCAAAGATTTATTAGTATATTATTATTTTTCTTCTTATTTTTTTCCCTTAAACAAGACCAGCCATCTCATAGCTTGTGAATAAGTGGTATAGTAGTGGATCTAGGTTTTCCATATTTAAAAACTGAACAAACCAGAAGTAAAAGATCTGTTAATATCTCATTTCTCATTATTTTATTAGTTCTCTATATTTGAAAGAACTGAGTGTTCAGTATATATCATTGCTATTAGTTTGTTTCACAAAGCTCTTGAAATGTTTATCTATGTACCATCAAAATATTTATGTAGTACTCACTGGTTAGAGCGTCAGCCTGTGAACTGAAGGGTCCTTTGTTCGATTCCTGTCAAGGGCATGTACCTTAGTTGCAGGCTTGATTTCCAGCCTGGGCATGTGCAGGAGGCAATCAAATTGTTGTCTCTCCTTCCTCCTCCCCTTCCCCCCCAACCCCATCATTACATGCCCCTTCCACTTGAAAAAAATAAATAAATGGAAGCCCTGAATTAGAGCTTCAGCCTTCCAACTGAAGGTCTAGGGCACATACCTCGGTTGCAGGTTCCTCGGCTCTGGTAGGGAGGTAACCAATAGATGTCCCGCCACCCCCCCCCCCCCCCCTTCCTTCTACTCTCTAGAAATTGAAAAAATATCCTCAGGTGAGGATTAACAACAACAAAAATTTTTTATGTAGCTATCTTCCATGACCTGTTTCTTAACCTTTTTTCAGTTACTACATTTGAAATAGTACAACTCAACCATAATGTCTTTTCCACTCCATATTTGCTAGACACTGTCTCCTATTAATTTCTTCCTTCCTGTCACCTTTATTTTTCCTGTCACCTTTTTGATGTGATTGGTTCCCTTATGTATTTCAGTGGTAGTCCAGGGACTACAAATTTGTAACAACTTAGTGAATTACATAGTTGTATAACTCAGATGTGGGAACAAAGACCTTGTCCTATTATAAAGTTAGATTGTAAAATTACCTTTTGAAATAGTTTATTATTTGGGGGCAATATAAAACTTTCAAAAATAATAAAAATCTTTAAAAAGTAAGTAGATCTGTGTGACACAGGGATGCCTTTTTTCCCCCTAATATATTTTTTATTGATTTCATCTAGGAAGGAAGAGGGAGAAAGAGATAGAACATCCGTGATGAGAGAGTCATGGATCAGCTGCCTTTTGTGAGTCCTCCACTGGGGATCGAGCTCACAAACTGGGCATTTGCCCTTGACCAGAATCGAACCTGGAACCTTTTATTTATTTTTAAAATATATTTTATTGATTTTTACAGAGAGGAAGGGAGAGGGATAGAGAGTTAGAAACATCAATGAGAGAGAAACATCCATCAGCTGCCTCTTGCACACCCCCTACTGGGAATGTGCCCACAACCAAGGTACATGGAATCGAATCTGGGACCCTTGAGTCTGCAGGCCAACACTCTATCCACTGAGCCAAACCAGTTAGGGCAAACCTAGGACCTTTCAGTCCCCAGGCCAATGCTCTATCTACTGAATCAAACCAGCTAGGCAGGGATGCCTTTTTGTATGGTTGTTTACTCTGCTAAGATGAAAAAAGCCAAGACTATTCTAATACATTTGTGAGCTTTTCTTATCTTTTGTTTTTCCTTTCCACTTACTCCTCTCTCCACTTTTGAAAAGCTTTGAATAGTAATACGCCTGGTCTTCAGAAAACACATTTTCACAGAGAAAGGATTCTGTTATCATTAATTTGTACATGTTGATTTACTGATATCCTTTATCAGTGACTAAGCTTCCTTGTTATCTCAGAGTCATTTGCATTTTAAGTGTTATCTTTAGTGTAGTGATAGATTGAAATACGTGTATAAAAATGTTGCCTGATCAAGTGTAGTATCTGTTCTTATCAGTTTAATAAAAATGTTGCCTGATAGGGGAAGAGAACCTAAAAATCAGATGAATGTTTGGCTCTTCTCACCTCTCTTTCCCTTTTGGCAATGAGATAAAAGGAACTGGTTTAGCTATAGTTGCTATACCCATTAAAAAGAAGCCATACTCTTTCTTATTAAACTTGATCTAGGACTTTAAGTCCCCTTGTCTGACAGGTTTATTTGACCTGTTCCCTTCTAGAACCCCTTTTTACCTTGCAGTTCAAGACTGTTCAGGTTAAGTATGGAGAACCCACTTAAGCCTAAGATATTTAAGTGTGGTTTATTTTTATTTAAAAAACAAATTTGCCATTTGTTATTCATTCTTGTTCAAATTGTATAACTTTTGCTCTAGCCAGTTTGGCTCAGTGGAGAGAGTGTCAGCCTGCGGACTGAAGTGTCCCAGGTTCGATTTTGATCAAGGGCACATGCCTGGGTTGCAGGCTCAGTCCCCAGGATGGAGCATGCGTAGGCATCAAATCAAGATCAATGATTCTCTCTCATTGTCCATGTTTCTGTCTTTCTTCCTCTCTGAAATATATATATATATTTAAAAAGCATTGTACAACTTACTTTCCTAATACTTCATTGACTTTTCTGATATTATTTATTATCCTGGCTTTGATTTTATTATTTCTAATTAAGCTTTAAAAAGAAGTGGTAGGCCCGGCCAGAGTGGCTCAGTAGGTTTAGCATTGTCCTGTGCACTAAAAAGGTTGCCAGTTTGATTCCCAGTCAGGACACATACCTGGGTTGCAGGTTTGATTACTTGGGGAATTAACAGAAGATGACTGATTGATGTGTTCTGACCAGGAATTGAACCATGACCCCCTAGGTTGATGCTCAACCGTTGAGCCACACTGGCAGGACCCACTGGTTTTTACCTATAAAATGTATAGATAGTTATCAAATGTGTGGGAAAAAAGGTATTCTCATACAATAATGATGGGATTATAACTTGGTACAGCTTTCTGTATGGGGACTGTGTGTGTGTGTGTGTGTGTGTGTGTGTGTGTATATACATGCATGTGTAATCACCCCATTCATGTAGGCCATGCTCATAGACTTTAAGTACTAGCTATTTTAAAATCAGAAATTGAGTGCATTCTTTCTTCTTAAAAAAAAAATTTATTGATTGATTTTAGTGAGAAGGGAAGCAGGGAGAGAGAGAAACATCGATTTGTTGTTCCACTTATTTATGCACTCATTGTTTTGAACCTGAAACATTGCCATATCTGGAGGATAATTTAATCAATTGAACTATGCAGCCAGATACTGTTATTTCTTTTAACTTTCAGAGGCAAGTCTTGGCACTGATGGTATGAATACCAATCTTAGTTTTTTTTGCAGAGGTTAAGCAGAAATAGCCCTATTAGCTATAGAAACTTAATCTATATGTAATAATAATAATAAAAATGTAATATGCATATCGACCGAACAGCAGAACAACCATCTGGATAATCATGCTATGACACCCACTGGTGCCAGGCCAGCCAAGGCGGGTGCAGAGCAATTGGATGGGGCCTGGCCATTGCCCCATAATCACCCTGCAGAGTGAGGCCCAGGCCATCAACGGGCGGGCTGCAGCAGGTGGACAGGGCCTCCCTCTGCGGGGCTATCCATCACAGGGCTCCCCGACTGTGAGAGGGCACCAGCCTGGCTAAGGGATCTCCCCAACCCCATCAGTGCATGAATTTCATGTACTGGGCCTCTAGTATGTAATAAAATAGTATTACACATACTATGCATGCATATTTTACATTGTACATACCCTTTGACCCAACAATAGTTTTCTAGGAGATATACTAGATATGTATAAAATAATCAATGTGTACAGAATTATTCCTTAGGTTATAGTGTATATATATATATATATATATATATATATATATATATATATATATATATATATATATTAGCAAAAGCTTAGAAGCTATTTTTATATGTCCATCAAATAGGGGATTGGTTAATGCATCACCACTCAGTTATACAGTGAATTTGATAGAAACACTGTAAATGTTTGATGATGAACTATCTTCAAGATAAAATGTGCCTGACCTCAGTGACTTAGTGGTTGAGTGTTGACCTATGAACCAGGAGGTCACGGTTCGATTCCTGGTTGAGACACATGCCTGGGTCATGGGCTCGATCCCCGGTAAGAAGAGTGAGGAGGCACCCTTTCAGTGATTCTCACCATTGATGTTTCTATCTTTTCTCCCTTCCTCTCTGAAGTCAATAAAAATAGTGAAAATGTATTATCATTTGTATAAAAAGGAGTTGAAAAGAATGCACAAGAAACTGATAATATTGATTTACTCTGGGGGAAAGGAACCAGGTGGGATGCTCGGGTATATGGATATCCTAGAGACTCTACATTATATTTTGTATCCGTGTGAGTGTATTAGCTATAGAAAGAATAAATAAAATTTTTATTTCACAAGCAGATTGAAGGGAATAGGTCCTATAACATGTCATTTTCTTGGTTAACTTTGTGGTTATTCAGGAAAGATATAAGAAGAAAAATAATATTTTAGAAAAAAGAAAATGCTAATTTTTTTTGTATGTGTTTATTAGGTGGAAGTTTAGCTGATGCCATAAGTATAAACTATAGAAGCATGCGTTACTTTATAGAAGCAGAGCTGAAGGATCTCCTTTTGCAAGTTGGCCGGGGCTTGAGATATATTCATTCAATGTCTTTAGTTCACATGGATATAAAGCCTAGTAAGTATTACACATCCTCTGACCTGTGTTCTATAGGATTATAGAGAATAAATGACTTTGTTAAACAGTTTGAAAACAGACGTATCTTAATGTGTTTTTTTCATTATTTTAAAGACCTTTGGGCAACTTATTTTTGTTGTTTGGTTTGGTTTGATTAATCCTCATCTGAAGATATATTTTTGATTGATTTTTAAAAAGATAAATACTTTTCTTTATTTCAGAGAGATAGAAACATTTATGATGAGAGAGAATCATTGATGGGCTGCCTCCTGCACACCTGATACAGGGGATCAAGGCCCTGATTAAAAAACGAGACCTCCTAGTTCATAGGTTGATGCTCAGCCACTTCAACTGGGCTCCATTGACTTTTTTTTCTTTTTTTCTGGTACAAACCAGAAGACCTAGAGAAATTCAAAAAGAGCTGTAAGCACTTCCATTGACTTTTTTTTAGAGTGGAAGGCAGGGGAATAGAGAGAGATACCATTGATGTGAGAGAAACACATCGATTGGTTGCCTCCTGCACACTCCTGGGCTGGAGATCAAGCCTGCAACCCTTAACTGGTATTAAACCCAAGATCCTTCAGTCCATGGGCTGAGCTCTAACCACTGAGCAACCAGCTAAGGCAGTACCTTATTTTTATTTATTTATTTTTTTATTGACACATCTTAATCATCCACAGTCCAGTTTTCATTCGAGTTCACTTTTTTTTTTTTTTAATATATTTTATTGATATTTTACAGAGAGGAGGAAGGGAGAGAGATAGAGAGCTAGAAACGTCGATGAGAGAGAAACATCGACCAGCTGCCTCTTGCACACTCCCTATTGGGGATGTGCCCCCAACCAATGTACATGCCCCTGACCGGAATCAAACCTGGGACCTTTCAGTCCGCAAACCAACGCTCTACCGCTGAGCCAAACCGGTTTCGGCAGTACCTTATTTTTTGATGTAGTTGTAAATGGAATTGTTTTCTTAGTTACTTTTTATGATAGTTCAATATTGGTGTATAAAACATACAACCAGTCCTAGCTGGTTTGGCTCAGTGGATAGAGCGTCGGCCTCTGGACTGAATGGTCCTGGGTTTGATTTCAATCAAGGGCAATCCTGCAGTTGGTGGCTCAATCCCCAGTTAGGGGCTGTGCAGGAGGCAGCAGATCAGTGATTCTCTCTCATCATTGATGTTTCTATCTCTCCTCTGTTCCTCTCTGAAATCAATAAAATACCTCACAATTTCTGGACATAATTTTATAGTAGTTTTTTGGAATCTTTAGGGTACTCTATGTACAGTATGTTATCTGTAAATAATGAGTCTTCTTCCTTGTCTGATTTTTATTTCTTCTTGTTATGGCTAGGACTTCCAAATACTATGTTAAATAAGAGTGGTAAAAGTGGACATCCCCAATTTGTTCCTCATCTTAAGAGAAATGCTTTTAGTTTTTGCCAATTGAGTATGATGTTGGCTGTGGGTTTGTCATAGATGGCCTTTATTATGTTGCAGTATGCTCCCTGATTTTCCATTATGCTTTATCATAAATGGGTGCTAGATTTTGTCAAATGGTTTTTCTATATCTATTGATAATGGTTCTTTGATTTTTATCCTTCATGTTGTTATGTGGTGTATCATGTTAATTGATTTGCAGATATTTTTTGCACCCCAGGAATAAATTCATTTTGGGCATTAAAAAAAAAAAAAGATTTTATTGATTTTTTTACAGAGAGGAAGGGAGAAGGAAAGAGAGTTAGAAACATCAATGAGAGAGAAACATTGATCAGGTGCCTCCTGCACTTTCCCCAATGGGGATATTCCTCAACTAAGGTACATACCCTTGACCGGAATCGAACCTGGGACCCTTTAATCTGCAGGCGGACGCTTTATCCACTGAGCCAAACCAATTAGGGCTGGGCATGTTTTTTTGACTTATTTTTTTTTTATGTTTGTCTCTGAGTATTAGGTAGATCTGCTGTGTTTTACAGTGACACAATAGTGGTCTTATGTAGTAGGTGTCTTGTGGGGCTCAGTGGCACAATCTCTCGTGTGGATTATGCAAACCTTCCTGTTGTAGTTGAGTCTTGAATGCCCTCAGGTTGACAATGAGGATTGACCCCAACCACAGTGTATGAGCTGTTGTGTTGGAAGCTGTAGTACCATGCCGCACCTGCTTCCCCCAAGAGAATTGGCCCAGCAGGGTCTGATGCCTGTTGGGATCTCCTTTTGGGTGTGCCACTTCTGTGGCCAGTTAAGTCATGCTCTGGTGTGGTCTGAAGCCCACCATTGGTTATGTTGGTTCTGGGTCCACTTGGGAGAAACTCTAATGCAGGTGCATGTTAGACGCTGCCTGTGAATGGCTTTGGGCTACCTATCTGGAGCTACTAAGCAGTCTGCAGTTTATGACTGTCTTGCCTGGGTCTGAGTGCATGTGCGAAGAGCCAAGTTGAATACAAAGGTTAGCTTGGCTTCCATCAGCTCAGAGCCTGAGTAGATCAGTAATAGGCCCTAGGCAGTTTGTTCTGCAGCCTCTGAAGTTGCCAGGGCCTCCTTGAGAACCTTCTGAAGAAAGTCTTCACCCAAGTTCTTTTTTTTTTTTTTTAATATATTTTATTGATTTTTTTACAGAGAGGAAGGGAGAGAGATAGAGAGCTAGAAACGTCGATGAGAGAGAAACATTGACCAGCCGCCTCCTGCACACCCCCTACTGGGGATGTGCCCTCAACCAACGTACATGCCCCTGACCGGAATTGAACCTGGGACCTTTCAGTCTGCAGACCGATGCTCTACCACTGAGCCAAACTGGTTTTGGCTTAACCCAAGTTCTTAACAATTGATTTGTCCAAACTACTGTGTTTTTTTTTTCAGGAACATGTATTACATCTGGTTATATCCATTGTCTTTTAGGATTTACCTTCTACTTCTAAACATAATAGTATAGACCTTGTTTTACAAGATGTTCTTCCTCTGGGTGGATTTGGTTGCTCCCTTGAAACATTTAGTTTATTCCTTTCTTCCCTTGTATTTCCTATAATTTTGAAACTATAACTAAAAGGTTGATGGATTTATGTTAAACATTTTAGGATGGGCGTTTTTATTTTTATTTATTTTTAATATATATTTTACTGATTTTTTACAGAGAAGAAGAGAGGGGGATAGAGAGTTAGAAACATCAATGAGAGAGAATCATCCATCAGCTGCCTCTTGCATACCCCCCACATGGGAAGTGCCCACAACCAAGGTACATGCCTTTGACCAGAATCGAACCCGGGACCTTTCAGTCTGCAGGCCGACGCTCTATCCACTGAGCCAAACCAGTTTCGGCTAGGATAGGTGTTTTTAAGTTGAATGTAATACGTTGTTTTTTTTACCCTATGGAAATGTGTATGATCAATGGGAATTTAAGTTGTTTTACACATTTTTTTAAAATTCTCACCTGAGGATATTTTTTCCATTGCCTTTTTTTTTTAAGAGTGAGTAGGAGCCCGAATGAAATAGAGAGGTACAGTGAGAGAGAAACATGGATACGAGAGAGTTACGTCGATTGGTTGCCTCCCACATGAACCCCAACCTGGGCTAGGGATTGAACCTACAATCCAGGTATGGGCCCTTGACAGGGAAATCAAACCCAGGGCCCTTCAATGTGCAGGCTGATTGTCTAACCACTAGTCAGGGCCACAATAAGAGTATGTGAAGAATTTGCCTGTACATTAACAATGCGTTTAAATATTAATTTTTTTAAAAAGAAAATATATTATATTTGGGCTGAAGGCAATAAATGGGAATTATAAAATTTCCTTATACTCACTCATCTTGTATTGTGTCAAATATAGTAGATCCTTATGTTGTAAGTACAAAAGTTAAAAATAAGTTTTAAAATTTCAAATTCACAAATATCGCCACAAATAAGTTGTCCTATAAATAAAGCAAAACTGGAAAGATGATTCCAGTGAATATAACATAAGTTTAGTACTATATTGATAAAACTATTAAAATGGGATCTGTTGCTAAAATTTATGTTAATCATGAGCTTACTCAAATTTGAAGATAAAAAAGTGTTTGTTTAGCTGAGATAGTGAATCCCACAAAGCTACATTGGATAAAGATGCTGTGAGATCAGCCAAACTCAATAGATATGTGACTCATTCTTTTCATCCCAGCCTTGTAGCATGAGATTAAAATTTGTGCTTTGGCAGCATTACAAATTACTATGTTACTGCCATTTGTATGGTTTCCAAGTAATTAAAACTGTTGAAGATCGCCCTTACTGGTTTGGCTCAGTGGATAGAGCTTTGGCCTGTGGACTGAAGGGTCCCAGATTTGATTCTGGTCAAGGGCATGTACCTTGGTTGCGGGCACATCCCCAGTAGGGAATGTGCAGGAGGCAGCTGATAAATGTTTCAAGTCTCTATCCCTCTCCCTTCCTCTCTGTAAAAAATCAATAAAATATATTTAAAAATAAATAAATTAATTAAAAAACTGCTGAATTCAATGTGTAGATGTGAAGGGACTAATTATAGTGGTTTCTAATTGTTCAAGGATCAGAGCTAGGCCAGAAAATAAAGCCCCAGTTCCCATCTGAGACTGTTATTTCATAGTGTTTGGTATAGAGCATATAAGAATCTATATATTTAAAAGCTTTCTGGATGATTCTGATGTATGCTTGTTTATGAACTTTGGTCATACTATTAATAATTAATGTGGCTTATATAAATAACTGTTTGACAGGTAATATTTTCATATCTCGAACCTCAATCCCAAATGCTTCCTCTGAAGATGGAGATGAAGATGAATGGATATCTAACAAAGTTATCTTTAAAATAGGTAAGAAAGAAAGATAACCAGATTATTACCATAAAATAAAGAGAGGAGCTATTGTGTTTTAACTCTTGACTGTATTTTTTTTCAATACTTCTAGGTGATCTTGGGCATGTAACAAGAATATCTAGTCCACAAGTTGAAGAGGGTGATAGCCGTTTTCTTGCAAATGAAGTTTTACAGGAGGTAATTTTTCTCCTTTAATAATGCAATTTATTTTGCAACATTTAGCATTTGATAGAATGCAGATGTATTAAAATTTTAAGCTAGTAACTAGTAGAATAATAATAACAAAATAGAAAGTCTAAACTATCAGTTGGGGTATTGAACTTATTAGCAAGTCAGTAAAGGCAAGTTTATAATATTCAATATGGTAGAGTTGTGATAAAAGAGAAGTTTCCATACACTATTGGTAGAACTTTAAAATGGCACAGCATTTTTGGAGAGTTAAATATTAGTATCTATCAATTTATAATAATCAAGTACCTTTTCATCCAGAATTTTCATTTCTCAGAGTCTCCTACAGGAATTTTCCTATTCAAACAAACCAAGAAAATGCAAAATAAGTAGCAGCACAGGAATGATTAAGTAAATTATGGTTAATAGTTAGTAGTACTGTTTCAAAAGTGTGATGAAATATTTCTCAATAAGACTTAAGTGGAAGTAGAACAAATAAATTATTATCATTGTTCTTTTTATGTATATTTGTCTTTTACTTATTTCTAACTTGTCATGTATGTACTAGAGGCCCAGTGCACAAAATTCGTGCACCTGGGGCGGCGGGAGGGTGTCCTTTAGCCCAGCCTGCACCCTCTGCAATCTGGGACATCCCTCTCACAATCGAGTACTGCTGGCTCCCAACTGCTCCCCTGCCTGCCTTCCTGATTGTCCCTAACCGCTTCTACTTGCCAGCCTGATCACTCCCTAACCACTCCCTTGCCAGCCTGATTGATGCCTAACTGTTCCCCTGCCTGCCTGTTTGCCCCTAACTGCTCTCCCCTGTGGGCCTGGTCACCCCTAACTGCCCTCCCCTCCAGGCTTGATTGCCCCCAACTGCCCTCCCTTGCAGGGCTGGTCCCTCCCAACTGCCCTCCCCTGCTGGCCATATTATGGTGGCCATCTTGTGTCCACATGGGGGCAGGATCTTTGACCACATGGGGGTAGCTATCTTGTATGTTGGAGTGATGTTCAATTTGCATATTACTCCTTTATTAGATAGGATAGAGGCCTGGTGCATGGATGGGAATAGCTGGTTTGCCCTGAAGGGTGTCTTGGATCACGGTGGGGATTCCATTGAGGCATTGGGCAGCCTGAGCAAGGGGTCTATGGTGGTTTACAGGCCAGCCATGCCTGTGTCTCTCCCCCTCCCCCTTGGTGACCCAAGCAGAGGCTCTGGTATCTGGGGTTTATTTATTTTCTACAATTGAAACTTGGTAGCCTTACGCAGAGGCCAAGGCAGGCCAGGGTGTGCGGAAAGCTTGGCTTCCTACATCACTGGGGCAACCCTAGCCTCCTGCTCTCTCCAGCTCCGTGGCTGCCACCATTTTTGTTGGGATTTATTTATCTTCTATCATTGAAACTTTGTAGCATTGAGTGGAGACCTGGGCTGGCAAGGCAGGTGGAAAGCTTGGATATCTCCATTGCTGGGGAAACCCAAGCCTCCCTCCTGCTTTCTCTGTGGCCATAGCCATCTTGGGTTAATTTACATACTTGCTCCTGATTGGCCTGTGGGCGTGGCTTGTGAGTGTCATGGAGGTATGGTCAATTTGCATGTTACTCTTTTATTAGATAGGAGGATTTTTTTCTGTTTTCATATGAATGCTTCTAGAGGGATAGGAGTTTCTTCTGAGATTTGAATTAGGCTAATGACAGGAGAAATTCGCTTTTATAAATGTTTTTACCAACCCCTCTACCTCAGAGTATGTATTACAATACTTTGTAATTAGAATAATTTCTCCAAATTTACTTGTTCTCTGAATAGGTCCTAAACTTAAATGTGGCATTGAACATTTTAATTTAGTCCTGCTTTTCACCTAAATCATTATGAGGTGTATAATCTTATTTTGAGAATTTTTATATTTCCTTAAAAATTATTTATTTTATTTTACAGAACTATTCCCATCTACCAAAAGCAGATATTTTTGCCCTTGCCCTCACAGTGGTATGTGCTGCTGGTGCTGAACCTCTCCCCAGAAATGGAGACCAATGGCATGAAATCAGACAGGGTAGATTACCACGGATTCCACAAGTGCTTTCCCACGAATTTACAGAGTTGCTAAAAGTGAGTATTTTTTATATGAAGCACTTTATTGACATGGTTTAACATTTTATTAAATCACATGTTTTTACCTTAATTTTACTTCTCTTTCAAGGTTATGATTCATCCAGATCCAGAGAGAAGACCTTCAGCAGCGGCACTGGTAAAGCATTCAATATTGCTGTCTGCTTCTAGAAAAAGCGCAGAACAATTACGAATAGAATTGAATGCTGAAAAGTTCAAAAATTCACTTTTGCAGAAGTAAGTGAGGGTTTTTTTGTTTTGTTTTGTTTTTATTTTTTTGTGTTCATTAATTCACAATTTTAGTAAGATGATAAAGGCTTTCTGTCAGTGATAAATATAGTGGTTTGGCATGTTATATAATTAAAAGTTGGGGAACTTCTGCCTTAAATAAGTTACCTAACCTATAAGTTTGTGTTGTTTCTAGACTTTGAAATTAATGGGCTTCCAAATTTTTAAGACTAGTATACATTTGCAAGTGGTGATAATCCCCAAGCCCCAAATCATAGCAAAAGCTAAGTGAGTCTATACCCTCCCCAAAGTCTCAGCATCAGTGAATATTCCTTGAAACTTTCCGTTGTACTAATTTTTATGAAATTAATGTCAATTAGGTTAGTAGGTAGTTCTCATATTTGATGTGAATGACCTTTAACATTTCAAAACTGATTGGAATGATTCTAATGCATTTGCTTTATTGCTACCATTTTGATTCTAAGCTAATCTGACTTGAAATATGAAAAGGTTTATTTGCCACTAGTTTGATAGATATAATTGTTCATATAAATAGGAAGTAGCATTTTGCTTTCATCTCTGTTATGTAAAGATATTTCACAATTACAGAGTTCTATTTGGAGTTTTTATTAAAACCCAGTCATAGAGGGAAGCTGAGGGAGGGTGAGTGGATGGGAGGTAATCAGTCAAAGACCTTGTATGCAAATATGCATAACCCATGGATGCAGACAGTGGGTGGTGAGGGCCTGGGGTGGAGGACAGGGATCGGTTGGTGGGGGTTGATAGGGAAAAAAGAGGGCATATGTAATACTTTCAATAATAAATATTTAAATGAAACAAAACAAAACAGTCATGCCCAGATGGTGTGGATCAGTTGCTTAAGTTTCATTCCATGCACCAGGACGTCACTGGTCAGGGCACATGTCCAGGTTATAGGCTCAACCCCCTGTAGGGCATGTGTATAGGAGACAGCTGATCAATGTTTCTCTCTCTCCCCCTCCCTCTCTCTGAAATCAATAAAAACATATTAAAAACACACACACACAAAAGTCATTAGTAGCCGAAACCGGTTTGGCTCAATGGATAGAGCATCGGCTTGGGGACTGAAGGGTCCCAGGTTCGATTCCGGTCAAGGGCATGTACCTTGGTTGCGGGCATATCCCTGGTAGGGGGTGTGCAAGAGGCAGCTGATCAATGACTCTCTCTCATCGATGTTTCTAACTCTCTCTCTCCCTTCCTCTCTGTACAAAATCAATAAAATATATTTTAAAAAAAAGTCATTAGTAGTGTCTTTATTACTTTGTACCTAAGTATATATTATATATATATATATATATATATATATATATATATATATATATATATATATATATTTATATTTATTTATTTATTTATTTATTTAAAATAGCTGGAGCCATACTCATTGGTTCTTCCTCCTCTTCTTCTTTTTTTTTTTTTTTTTAAATATAGTTTATTGATTTTTTTACAGAGAGGAAGAGAGAGGGACAGAGAGTTAGAAACATCGATGAGAGAGAATCACCCATCAGCTGCCTCTTGCACACCCTCTACTGGGGATGTGCCCGCATCCAAGATACATCCCCTTAACTGGAATCGAACCCGGGACCCTTCAGTCTGCAGGCCAACACTCTATCCACTGAGCCAAAGCGGTTTTTGGCTATATATATATTTTAATTCTGATAGCCCAAAATAAGATTATTTTGTAAATTTAAGTTGTTTGAGCAGAAGCTAAAGTTTCATAGTGTGTTTTTCCTCTTGTCAATTGCATGTTAGAATAATGATGACATGCAAAGATATTCCAGCTGATAATATAGTTTGTGTTTGGCCTCTTAGGATCTCTAACTCGGATTAACACAGTAGGTGAAAAGTCTTGTTTTCTATTTTTGTGTTTGTAGAGAACTCAAGAAAGCCCAGATGGCAAAAGCTGCAGCTGAGGAAAGAGCACTCTTCACTGACCGGATGGCCACTCGGTCCACCACGCAGAGTAATAGAACATCTCGACTTATTGGAAAGAAAATGAATCGCTCTGTCAGCCTTACCATATACTGAACTACTTACTTCCCACCTCCCCCAAAAAACTGTGACAAGAGGAAGTTAAAGCTAGGTTGAAATCACTGCTAGAATCCAGTTTGCAATTACTTTCTTAAAATGGATGTCAGTAGTTTTACTGAAATACTTTTTAGGACTTTTATTTGTGAGTTACAGTTAAAAGCTGTATTTTGACCAGTGCTCTATCAGGCTTTCATTAGTTGATCAGTTTGTCTTCTCTAGGATGTCAGTCACTGTTGGATGTTACCATCAGCCTTTCCAGGGTGAACCACTACGGTGGTGTGCTGCTGATAGTTTGCATTGTGATAAAAGGTATCCTTCCCTGTAGTGACTTGTAAAAAAGGACCAAGGGCTTTATTACAAACATTCTCCCTTTGAAAAGAGAAATAGTAAGAGAATCAGTTACTACTCGGCCTTCAATGTACCTGTGTGTCAGTCATATTTCTTTTTCTTTAATTGTGAATTATATTTGTATATCCAACTGGGAGCACTTTTGGGCACTGTATGAGCCATGGAGTAATTCTGTGGAAGTATTGCCTTGTGAATTTGCTGCTATTTTAGTTTTGTCTTTGCTGTAAAATTGTAGCATTAAACAATCATTGTTGTTAATAGGCTTTTTTTTAAAAAAAAAAAACAATTATGTGAAATACATAGCTGCTCTTGATGAAAAGCAGCTTATTTGCCTTTTTTCCCTTTGAACTTTGAAGCTAGTGCATTGGAGAAATGCATCCTTTCCCCCCTTTGGAATGCTGTATTAATGTAGTATAATTATTGCTGGTTTTGTAATTTTTTCTGATAATCCCCTTCCCTGAATTTTTAAAAAATATTTCCTCTCACCACCTAAGTTTGTACTTGATTGTATTGTTAGTCTGTTTTTAACTGTTTTGCCCAGTTTCCCTTCAACATTGGTGTATATAAACTAATCTTGGTGATACTGTACATAGCTGTTTGAAATGCCAGAATGACTTATGACTATACCAAGCTTTTCATAAAATATATTTTATCTGTAATTAGCCACTTGACTAATAGTACTGGCTAATAGATATTGAAAAAATTTTGTTTATTTTTTATTTTCCTATTGATTTTGATTTAAGACTTGTTTGCACTTGTCTGTTTGACTTGTGTATTATTAACATTGTTTGGCATATTAAAAGTCACTCTGAGCTTACCTTAATTGTTTAAATCTTTGTGATGCCTGTTTTCTGTTATCTCCATTATATAGAGAGTACTAAAGGCAGAGGATGTATTTTTTTTTTAATTGATTTTTTACAGAGAAGGATAGAGAGTTAGAAACATCGATGAGAGAAACATCTATCAGCTGCCTCTTGCACACCCCCTACTGGGGATGTGCCCGCAACCCAGGTACATGCCCTTGACCGGAATCAAACCTGGGACCCACAGGCTGATGCTCCATCCACTGAGCCAAATTGGTTTTGGCAATCCTTGTGTTTTTTAAACAGTATTTTAAAAAATATTTTTATTTCAGAGAGGAAGGGAGAGGAAGAGTTAGACACATCAATGATGAGAAAGAATCATCAATTGGCTGCCTCCTGCACGTCCCTCCCACTGGAGATTGAGCCCGAAACCTGGGCATGTGCCCCTGAACGGAATCGAACGTGGGGCTCTTCAGTCCTCAGGCTGACGCTCTATCCACTGAGCCAAACCAGCCAGGGCTGAAGAGTATTTTTTATTATTTTTTTTATTAAATTATCTGAAAGGTTTTTTTTTTAATTTTATAATTTTATTGATTTCAGAGGAATGGAGAGAGAGAGAGAGACATAAATGAGAGAGAATCTTGGATCAGCTGCCTCTTGCGCGCCCTCTACTGGGGATGGAGCCTGAAATCCAGGCATGTGCCCTTGACTGTAATTGAGCCTGGGACCCTTCAATCCACAGGCCAACACTATCCACTGAGCCAAACCAGCTAGGGCAAGATCCTTGTGTTTTTTGAACATAGGTACATAATTTCTCTCTTAGAGTCTATTTCTTATTGCCATAGACATTTTAACAAGCTTGATTATTTTAACTTTCTAGCCTATGGCATGCTAAAAAGCAAATTTTGAGGTGTGAGAGGAATTGGTATAGATAGATAAATTAGATATAAAAGCTAATAGGTGTGGGTGATAAAACACCTAAAAAGCAGTGAAGGCTGGGGCAGGATTTAGTAGCTACTGAAGACAGCTATAGAAAGTATGATAAATTAGTGTTCATAGGACCACTATAAATCATCAAGTCTTGATTTTCCTAGTGTACTAGCTTCAAAGAAAAAAATCAGGTATTGTTTTTCATCAATTTGCAGTTTTTTTTTTCACATTCAATAATAGAAAATTTTGGTTTTCAAAGAGAGAATTCTTAAGGTATTTGAAAGCTGATCTGAGAGTTGGGCTTATATCCAGTCCAATGCAGAAACAGGTTGAGTGCCTTCTGTGTGCTGACTGATAAGCCAGGAAGAAGTGGGCTTTGTCCAGCAGTGACTCAGGATGACAGAGCAGACCTGTGGAAGAATAAAATGCTAATGAAATTTGTTGAGCGCTATGTTGGAGGGATTCTGCAAGGTAGAGTGACGGCTCAAAGGGCAGTTGCATACCTTGGGGAAGATTGTGGAGGTAGATTAGAAATTGAAGTTGGGTGATTTTGTTTAGGTTGATTTCAAAGCCACTGTTGTACTAACTCGGTAGAAGTAAGGAGGGCCTGAACTAGGACCTTTGGTTAGAAACCAGGGGATAGAGATTTCATCAGAAGAGAATGCACATTAAACAGCTTTTGTTTGTTTTTATAACAGAATTTATTAGCATAACATCTGGTGGAAGCTACAAGTGCTAATGAAACATTGAAGAATTTTCCAGAAAATTTAATTAAAATGCAGAGAGGCCTGTTACTTTTTGAGGCAATTTTTATTTTTATTTAAAATATTTTATTGATTTTTACAGAGAGAAAGGGAGAGTGATGGAGAGTTAGAAACATCAATGAGAGAGAAACATCGATCAGCTGCCTCCTACACACCCCCTATTGGGGATGTACCCGTAACCAATGTATATGACTGGAATCGAACCCGGGACCCTTCAGTCTGCAGGCTGACACTCTATCCACTGAGCCAAACTGGTTAGGGCTTGAGACAATTTTTAAATATCAACTATGCAGTTGGGTAGAAGGAATCACATATTACAGTTGACTGCAAATTAAAACTAGTGCCTTACCTTTTATTTTGCCAAGAATCCAAAGCACTCCCCTTTAATTAATGAACTAATGTCTTTAGAAGAAGCAATCCTCAAGCTTTGATTTTCAGTCTACTTCATTCCACAGGGCAAGAAATAATGGCATCACTCTACTTTGTTCCACAGGGCAAGAAATAATGGCATTTAAAAAATTGATAACAGCTGGGTTTGGCCAATGCTTCAAGCCGTCTCCAAATTCTTAAGCAGCAGTATCCTGACATTCGTTTTTCTTCCTCTCTCCATTTATCTTCACAAAGCATCTCATTGACTTTAGCCAAGAGATCAAATAAGTTGTTGCATCCTTAAGGTATTTTTACTGTAAAATTTTTAAAGGTCAAAGCAATCAAAGAGGATGGATCAATAAGGAATTTTGGAAGTGTTTTGGATATTGTGAAAATTCTAAGTGTAGCCTAAAACTAGGAATTTGGAGGAAACTGCCTCAGTATTTGGAAGGCATTTGTATTACTGTAAAAAGCATCACTGAAACTGATTGACATTGCAGAATGAGTAGATCTAGAAGTTTCTCCTGCAAACCTGGTTGTATTATTAGAAATTTCTCAGGAGCTCAACAAAGTATATTTTTGTAAAGATGGAAAAGTAAGACATAATTGAAATTGTCCAACATTTAGCTTTTAAAAACTTTGAGAGGCATTTATCTGAACATCATTGAACTATTTTTTTCTCCTTTGTGGCAGATGACATTTTCAATGCAGTTCAAAGGTCTCTGGAGTAAGGAATAATATCTTAGGAAGATTTACCAGGAAAAGATGGCATATTCTGTCCAAACTTCATTAAACTAAGAGTCTCAGAAACCTCAGCCAGTCCAGCCCATGAAGAAAAATACCTCAAAGGAACATGTATATCACAGCTCATATTGTTAGTTTTATACTGTTAATAAATATGGAGAGTATATTATTTGTTTGAGTTTTGACATACTTATGCTATGAAATGGGTTTCCAGGCTGAAATTCTAATTTATGCCTACTAGTCCATTATGCCAATGAGAAGGTCAAGTTCAGTGTACAATGACTCCATTTAAGATGTTTGTCCAGGAGAGGAGTCACATTTTCGTGGTTGAGACTCTGGAGGCTCAGGTGAGTTAAATAACTTGGGAACTCAGTTTGGTAAGTAGGAGAGCCAGAATTCTAACTCCAATCTCATAAGAATCATGCATTTTCCAGACACTCAAAAGTTGAGGACAGATGCTAATTAAAGAACAGAATTTAGGCAGCAAAGAATAAAAAGGAACAAGAATTAAGAAAATTGGGAAGACACTGGTGTCATGGAAACCAGGAGAAATTGATTGACTATACACACAAAAGATTAAAAAATGACTCAATCTGGGGAAGGAGGGTATGTATGGGGGGGGGGGGGTGTTAATGGTAAAATATGTACACAGATAATTAAAAAAAAAAAAAAGACTAACTGGCTATCACTTGAGTGGTGAGATTATGGGATTTTTTTCTGAACTTTCTACATTTTACCCAATGAGTCTATTGTGTAATAATAAAAAAAAAACCTTAAAAAGTATCTTGTTATTAACATGCAGTCAATACAAATCACCTGGTGATTAAGATTTGTCCAGAGATCATGCTCTCCTCCACCCCCAGGTTTCTGGGACCATTCCCTTGAATGCAGAGGCACCTATATGATCTGGGTGGGGCCAAACGGAGTTTTTTTGGGTTTTTTTCCTGGAACCTTGTATATGCTCCAATTGCTGTGTTGGCAAAGATGGGGAAGCCAAGCTTCCCACTACTTAGAAAAGCTTGTCTGTAGGAGAAGAGAATGAACCAACAGACTCGGAATTGAGAACAGAGGAGAGCATGATCTGACAGTGTATCAGTCCCTGAAGCCAATCTTGGTTTGATTTCATGACTACATATTCCTCTTTTTGGGTGTAAGCTGTGTTGAGGTGAGTTTCTAGTACAATGTATTTCTCTGAACTGGCAGCCTTGAATTAAATATTCTAGATCTTGTCTGACTGAGAAATATATGCCAAAGATCCCGGGGTTCATGGTAAAATCCCTTGGTTGGGGCTTCTGCTGAGTCAAGATTCCCCAGCCATCTCCTCCTGGCCCACCTCAACATACGGTTATAGCATCAATTTTCTAGTGACTAGTTTGTGCAAAGCACCACGCACAGTAGTTCCAGAAAGAATTCTGCTGATGGACTTTGAGCTCTGCAGAACAGGAGTAGGGACCACACAGTTCCATTAGCAGTGAAAGAGAGGTGGCCAGTAAGTACAATGTGCAGTTTGTTTTCCTGTCTGCCTCATGCTATTGCTCTGCCAAAGGTGCTATACTTAAAGAAGCTGGAGATAAAAGACTCCAGTGAGGAGTCTTGTATTTTACAAGTAAATTTGGGAAAAGCTGGTTTTTCAAACTTCTTCATTCAGGGGGGTGGAGGGAGTAATGAAGTTGGGGAAGGCATAACACCGAATCCCACCGTATGCTTCCCAAATAGGTTCCTCGCTCTAACCGAATGGACTGAGGTACAGGATGGAGGTACACCATGTCTACTTTGTAGATTGCATTCCTTGGTTCATTTTTTCAATCAACATGTATTTTGAGGATCTACACTGAGCTAGGGTTTATTAGCTAGTGCTAGGCAGTGAGATACAAATATCCCCTCTCCATTACACAAATTATGTGGGGGTATTAGAAACAACTAACTAGTTATACAGTAAATGCTCTTTTAGAGCATGCACAGGTCACTGTGGGGACCACAGAATAAGCAGTCCAGCAGATAGAGGTAGATGTTGCTATTCCCAGGAAAGGTGACACTTCATCAAGGACTTCACCGATAAATAAAAGTTTGCCCAACGGGTAAGGTAAAGTTTCCTAGGGAGAGGGATTAGCATGAACAAGGCACAGAGAAAAGATAGTGCATGGGGTATTAGGACGGTGAGAGCATACATATGTGTTAGAGGGGAGGGAGCAAGCTAGTTTGCACAA